CTTGCTTTATTGCGGTCTTCACTTTATTGCAGTCTTCACTTTATTGGAGTGGCCTGGAACTGAACTTTCTGTATCTCCAAGGTATGCCTGTATTTCTGTCACTACTCTGTGGGATCCAATGATTAGTGACAATGGACTGGGAGCTGAGCTCTTTGCCTTCTCATCTTTCCTCTCTCAAGTCTCTTTACTCTCCCTTTATTCCGTATGTGCCTGACCCCACTTTTGGGACCAGTCCTGTTCTTACCAGGTATTGAGAAGACCCATGCATGACCAGGTGACTCAGCATCACATTGTCATGGCCACAGTCCATCTCTGAGTATCTGCCCTAGATTTAATGATTGAATTGCTTCCTGTTTGTGAGATGAAGGCCCTTCCTTTTGCTTCATTTTCTTAACTAGATTCATATATTTTTCCCCTGTAGTCAGTCCCAGTCATGGTAACTTGTGTAGTATCATGTGGAATCATATCAGCAATAGGGATTTGCCTTGCTATAGTCAACATCTCCGACCACCTCTTGCACACACAGCCCCATGCAAGTCTTCTGGAATCTGAGTTGGGTGGGTCCTTCCATCTGTTGAGAAGTTGGTGCCTCCTGGCTCCCTGCCTACATGCCTACCTGGATCTCCACATGTCCGTCCCTCAGTACTACGTTTTATACACATGTTGGGGTACGCCATGAGCCTCATTTGTGCCTGTAACCCATCCCCCATTTTGACAGATGCTGGAGTTTAGGTTCTGCTACCTAAATGTCCTCTCATTGCTTATATCTCACGGAGTCACCTTAGTGACTTTCTCACATAAAGCATTCTATTCGCCCTGACCACCTCATTGTAATGTGTCACAATTAATCCTTGTTGATGGCACCTTTTAAAAGGGCATGGAATTCAGTCCTTGGAACTGAACGTCTGTACAATTATTAAGCTTTTCTGTGTGGTCAGGACTTCTGTGCTGACAGGATGTTGGTAAGCTCTTAAGTGCCTGTGGCTGGGGTATTATATTCATCTGTGGCAGAGCTTGCACATAGTGTCCTCTGGATCACATTCCAGCTGTAGAACTCTGTTTGGCTCACACAGTTTATAAAAATAGGAAATTTACTTTAAAAAGGGTTTCTGACTTGAGAAAAACAGCTGATTCCACTGGATTCCGGGGTCTGCATTCCATCCTGTACTGGTGTTGCTTGCCTGCGGCAGGATAGTTGGTATTCCGGTTGAGGGTGGTTGCGGGCAATGTCAGTCCTTCCTCCAGCTCCTCCCCTAGCCTTTTGGACTACTTAGCACCTGATGGCTCTGGGAAGGACTCCCCCTTGGGCTACTGGAGAAGGGAGTTTCTGGGAATTTGGTTCAAATTCCCAGTTTTTGACCAGTCACTGACAGGTGCTAAAGAGCATATGAAACCCCAGCTACCTTGTGGTCAAGAGAAATCGGAGGTGAAATTTAGACTCCAGGGTTTCTCTTGACACTGAGCTGAAGCCACTCTTCCTGGGATTTTGCTTGAGATTGAATCCTTACCTGCTTTCCTTCCCCCCGCCCCCCCACCATACACAGGGAGCATGACATTAATAAATCACAGGCCTGGGAATTCCTGTCTCAGGGTCTGCCCTAGGGAACAGGACCTAAAATGAGAGGATGTTGTTGTCTCATAATAATCATCCATTTAAAAATGTATTCTGATTTCCTTTGTGATGTTCTGTTTGTCTTATGGCTTATTTAGAAATGTGTTGCTTAGTTTCCGTAGCTAGGGGGTTTTCTAGATTTTTTTATCAGAGGACATACTCTGATTTCATCTTTGAAATTTATTGAGACTTCCTTTATTGTCCAGTACATTAGTGAGTGTTTTGGTTGAACTTGAAAAGAATGTATATAGTGCATTTTGGGGTTGAGTATTCCATAAATGTCAATTAAGTCCATAGTTAGGATGTTCATATTTTCCTGTCCTTACTGATTTTTTTTGTTAGTGAGAGAAGTCTGTTAAAGATTCCAATTCTGATTATGCACTTGTCTGTTTATTTCTGAAATTTGAAAAAATTTTGGAGCACATGCTTTTAAGATTGTTATGTTCTCTTAGTTAATTGACCATTATTATGAAGTATTCTTTATTTCTGGTAAGATTCCTTATCTTATATGCTTTGTCTGACATTAGTATAGCCAGCTTACTTAGGATTGGTGTTTACATGGTATGTCTTTTCTCATCCTTGTGCTTTTTTGGAATAGCTTTAAATTATAACTAGACATTATCAAGATAAGCAACCCCCTGTTATGTTATAATACAACAAGAATGCAATTTGTCATTTTAAAGATGTAAAAGCAAGAAAATGCATAGAGTTGTACCTCAGTATCAGTTGGTTCCAGGGCCCTCACCTACAGCAAAATGCATGGTTGCTCAAGTCCCTGATATAAAATGACAAGTGTTTGCATATAACCTATGCATATACTCCTATGTATTTCGATACCTAATACAATGTAAATGGTATATAAATAATTGTTGTACTGTGTTTTTTAAAATGGCATTTGTCTTTTTTATTTTTAGTTATTTATTTTTTGGGTATTTTCAATTCATGGCTGGTTGAATCTGTGGATGTGGAACTCCCAATATGGAGGGCCAACTGAGTAATAGAAATTCATCCAAATTTTAAGTAGTTGTTTGTGTGGTCTGTAAATGTCATTAAAAAAAAATTTAAATAGAAAATTGATATCTGCTTACAGAAGATTTTTAAAAATCAGTGTTTATTCAAACTTTAAATAAAAAGGAAAATAATGATCTCTGTCCTCCTCTTTTTTCTTCAAAATGTTTGTCTTTTGTAGAAAACACTATGTTCTAAGACAACTTTTTTTTATAAAACAATGACAGTGATCAAGACCTCCCTAATGTAGCCTCCCTCGCCACAAGTTGGAATGGAAGGAAAGCCAGAATCTTATGCATTCTTTGGTCTTAGTGTTTGGAACAGGAAGTCAACTTCTTTTCTCTTCCTTCTGCTGCAAAATCTACATGAGTTGCACACTCCTTACACGTATGTTCAAGCAGTTGTCTGCCTTTTCTTCTGGAACCATTTCAATGTGAGGGAAATTTTGTAAGCTAGTCTCTCATCATCTTTAAGATATGGCTCCACACATACTTTTGCTTGACAATTCCATGGATAGCTGGTTTCTTTGTGGTAGCCAGCACTTCTCCCCTGGGAGGATCTTTGGCAAATAGGATTCATATTCTTCATGTGTTGTCTTATCAAACATTGTATCTGCTATTACTGAGACATTTTCTCTTTTCTGCATTTGGACTCACCGCGCCTTGTGTAATTGCTAAAAACACATGTTCCCTAACCATCAGGCCAAGTTCATTCTCTTTCCTCTTCCTAGTCTTACCTGACTGCCATTTATTAATAGTACACTGACACTCATTTTATGCTGAGAAAATTCGTCTTTTGCATCTACCATCCATTGGAAATTCTCAAAGGATACCTTGATGTTTTGTAAAGATTTCGTTTCAGGAACTATACATGGGTAATTCGTAGTTGAATTAAATTTTATGTATAATTTTACATCCTGATTTCTTAAGTGTTTTCCCATGTCACCTGGAAACTTTCATCAGCATTGGTTTATTTAAGTTGTACAACACTCTGTTATGTTTGAATTCTAATTTATTTCTACATTTCCTGTTGTTGAATAGTTGGGATTTTTTACAATGTAAAAGAACTCTACAAGTAGATTATTCTCATAAGGGATGTTTTTGAGATTATATATTTAATTTATGTTTCTAGAAATAGGATTAGTGAGATAAAGGCCGAAAAGGCTCCCAATTCATATTGCTGGATTGCTTTCTAGGAGTGACGAGTTGTTTACCTTTACTTTGGCTAATGTTTCCAAAAGGCCAAGTTACTCGAATAGTAAGTAATTTAGGAATAATAAGCTATCCACCATATTTAAGACATGTAGAATGCAGATTTAGTATAATGTTATAAAATGATTTTTCATTTATTAGAGACAGTGGCTTACCATATATCTCACTTGTTTAAATTGTGAGGAGTATTTTGCTTCACCAGACCCATTTAAAATTCAGTTCTGCAACATTTGGCATCTATCCTATGTCAGGCATGTTGCTAGATAGTGGGGAAATAAAAATGAAGGGAATGCTTTCTAGCTGCCATGAGTTCAGGGCCTAGAAGAAAAGAACCGTAATCACCTAAAATTGTTACCATGTAATAAGCTTGACATATATAAAGTGAACCTGTAAAGCGCTGATGGAGGATTGAAGAGAGCAGGTATTTGTGCCAGAGTGTGTGACATTTGAGCTGAGCCATTAAAAGAATAGATTTTTAGGTGAAGTAGGAGTACAAAGGCACTCTCGGGGAGAAATGGCATTTAAAGGCATAATAAAGATTATTTAGAACATGAAGAACAGCCTGTGTTTCACAATTAAAAACTTAACTCCTAAGTTTCCAGGTTATTTTATTCCCTTTCTAGGATATACATAGTCATTTTTCTTAATATGGAGTTATTTCTTGTCTCTGACAAGCACTTTGAATGGTCTTTAGCGCTTTTGTTGTTTTAGTCTCCTATTGTCAGTCTGTACCTGCATCATATAGATTGATAGAAAAAATAGATTTCAGTCTACCCAAGTCCAAAGGCATTGTCAGTTTCAAGAAACTTGTTTTCCCTCTACCACTCTTGAGCACCCTGTGCATTTAGCCTTATTATAAGAGATGTGTGTTTGAAAAATACAGATTCCTTAACCAAGGACTAATGCCATTCCATCTGTTTTGGAGCCATGTTGAGTGCTGTGTCAAATTATGTGGTGTGGCGATGATCGGTAGGGTGGGGTCGTCCTAAGATGTTCAGAACATTGTTTTGTCATTATAAAAATAATTGGTAGAAATGTGCGAAACTGGGCAGTGCTGGGCTATTAAAACTGACCATTGACTATCTGTTCGTTGGATATCATAGTTTGATAATTCAAGGACATGGTGGATATCTTTTGTGAAATTTTGTTTTCATTTTTATTTTTAATAGGATGAAAGTTAAAAAACTGCCCATGATTCTAGCTCTACACCTGAAGAGATTTAAATATATGGATCAACTTCATCGATATACAAAACTCTCTTACCGGGTAGTTTTCCCTTTAGAACTTCGTCTATTTAACACTTCAGGTGATGCCACCAATCCAGACAGAATGTACGACCTGGTTGCTGTTGTGGTTCACTGTGGAAGGTAATTGCAACTCCGGGGACATAGTAGTGGAATTTCTAGGTTAGAAGAGCAGTGTATATTCAAGATGTTCATGAATTATTCAAATACAGAACTTTTAGAAATTCTGTATTCTTCTCAAGATAATTTTATTTCAAAATGGAGTTTTAGCTTTACATTTTATCATTCCTTAAAAATTTTATATGTTAAAATATATTGTTTTTATTTTTATTATTTATTACTCTGCAAGTACTATATCTGATTTTCTAGAACTTTGAGATCTGTTAGTTTTTCTTTTCCTTTTTTGGGGTGTGTGTATAGAGGGTTGTTGGTTAAAATAAATCACTTCTGAGTTTAATTGCATATGTTCAACATATCAGTGGTTGTAAAAAGCATTTAAAATGGCATTGGAAGTAATCTTCAAAGATTCATTTTTTGATTTTACCTGGGTGTGTATTTGTCATTTCCTATTAGCTAATTTTGCTTTCTGTCTCCTTCTCATCTTCTTTTCCAGCGTGGTATACACATCTTCTCTGTATGAACATACATACCTGTAACTGACCTTATTAAATACATCAAAAAATTCTCAAACTGCAAGAGCATCACATAATCAGAACTTGTATTTGGAACATAACCGTCTTCATTGACTGCTTAGAATTTCCTTTAGTAATTTTAAAGCAGGCACTCATCATTTTCCCCTTGGTTTTGGGAAACTTGTACTAACAGCATGTTTTATCCAAATAAAAAAAGTTCCAGCTTTCTCCACTTCAGCCCGCCTCCCAGCTCTCTGATTAAAATTTTTTTTTTTTTTTTT